GATGAAGATGACAGATATTTAAAAGGCTATCTTTTGATCATCTCCCTCAGCAAAGATATGTTTTGTATCTGGCTGCAGTGGTGGGGTAGAAAAGCTTCTCCTGCTGAAACCCCTCACATTAGATCAACCAATAACATGACTTATGTTATTGTTCCAGAGAAAATCAAAGCTTGTTACTCCCTCTGGTGGATCACATCTCGCTTGAGAATATAAAAAGGTGTGTGTTTATGAACAATCCTCTCCTTTCAGCTTAAATGAGCATGAAGAGAACATATATTAATATGGATAGCATCACACTTTGGCAGTAGATGAATAACGCACCAAGCGCCATGTTGCTATATAGTTGCTGTTACATTTTTTATATATGTGTCGGTGTCCATGTATTATTAAGATCATGTAAGCCTGCCAAATGCAGCTCTATGATCACTTTAAAGTGTGTGAATATCCTGTAGCAGACACTGGCAGACGGTTAGCAGGTCAGCGGTGAGTAAGTGGCGGCCCTTTCACAAAGTCCTGATTAGATAATTACCCATCCATATCTGGGCAATATGTTGGAGAGGAACAACACATTAAACTGCAGACAGGCAAACGCAAGGTGATCAGCAGACACACACTTGTTGACTAAACACAAAAAGAAGAAGATCATGGTCTGAAATCATGACAAAAAGTAAGAGAGTTTCTGAGGATTAAATATGGCCAGTCAACCTTCTACTATAATCTCTGCTGCCCTAAGAGACACACTGTTGATACACAGTCCATCACTGCTTTATTTGTCTAAATACCTTCAGGTCGCACAGATTAAGGGCACGCTCACCCTGCATGAATGTATAAATAATGTAATATGAAGAATAGTGCCCGAGGTGAGGTGCTGAGGTGATATAGTTTGAGTGTCACAAACTTTCCCATTTTACAGCTTAGGGCTGAACGATTAATCGGTTTTAAATCGAAATTTGAAATGATGCGATTATTAAATCGTTAGTTCGGTTGATTTTTTTTAACATTTTGTTGTTCTCTTGTGTCAGTCATCCACACCAATCAGAAGTGCTGTGCTCCACATGTACCAGCCATTGTTAACCAATCAGAAGTGGCCCATGATAGAAGGTGATCGACAGATTGATCCAATCACCTGCCAAGTATTTTTGAAAGTGCCTGCCCTTTCCAAATGGCTTCCAATGGAGCTTTAGATGGTTTGGTGAAACAAAGCATCTGGGTCAGGTTAGTAATGCTCCATCACATGTTTCTATTACAGGGTGCATCTTAAACTGAAGCTTGACTTTAAAGCAACCCAACGGAAGTTTCATGTAAGTGTAGTTCTTTCACTCGTAGCTCGGGCTGCGGGTGTGCTAGAGACGGGAGCACGTTGATACGACCTTCCTAGCCGGAGTTATGGCCGCATTTTACAATAAACTTCCGATAAACAAATCGAATTGCAATATCTGTCAGAAAAATCCCAATTCGATTTTTTTCCCAAAATCGTGCAGCCCAACGGTACACTTAAATGTTTCTGAACACGTGATGCTGGATTAAAGCAACGCAGTGACAGAATACTTTTCATATATGATCGACCCTGCCTAGCATCACTAGTCCAGGTGGTGTTACATAGTCTTCAGCAGTACCAGTAGATGTTTATTCTGGATCTTCCGTGTGTGATAAGTCCTTATGTTTAAAACAAAGTGTGCCACTTATGTGAGAGTTAATGACACTCACTATCGTTAGTTGATAATAGCTATATGTTCGGTTGATACAGGTACAGGTTGTTTGAAAATCACCAAAGTAAAAAGGATTACTCATCTTATACCTGTGCCACTTAGCACTTAGTGACACACTATATAGAAGACTCAAATTAACGGTAAATCTCACTTTGATTTCCTGTCAATCAACATGGATCCCACTAAACTCAAACAACAGAGTCTACTTCTCTTTTCTAAAGACAAAAAGTCACATAGAACTCCCACATTTGAATCTTGTATTCCTTACTTGCAGCAAAGTGTGCCCTCACTAAACCCACCCAGCTCCCGACTCATTACCCTGGAGAAGTAGTGACTCGCGTGGATCAAATACTGTACATAAGAGCGCACTCAAAAGGAGCTTTCATTTAACCGAGCCACTGAGTGAGTAGCAACGTAACCCGAGCCTGGGTGTGATGAAACACGCTGCAGGCAGAAGCAGACACATCAAAATAGTGCATTAGACCTTACTGCTTCTGAGAGCATGCTGCGTTACCTGCAGCTTTTTTTTTTTTAAACGTCTTGAATGATCGGCTTCAGCCTTTTCAGCAGGACTGCCGAGTGCCGGCGCACTTTTTGTCCAGACAAACTGAATACATTGCTTCTGAAGAGCGGGGGATTGGAGCCTTGAATTCTTAGAAAGGCATGCACAAAATGTGTGATGAGACTTTCAGCACCACGGACAGCGGCACTCAGGAAGTGTGTGTGTGTGTGTGTGTGTGTGTGTGTGAGAGAGAAGAGATGGAGTAAAGTGAGAAGCAATGAGTTCATTTGATAATTACCCAAAGAAGCATGTTCCCATTTCAACTATGTGCTCAAAGTAGAGGCGCTCACCCCAACACACACACACACACACACACACACACACACACACACACACACACACACCTGAGGCAAGACGCAGCTTTTCCACAGTTTTCCCCCGTCTCTGTGTCTTAGTCTGAATAATGCAGAGGCTTTATCCAGCGCTCAAGCATGAGTGGATAATCTGGCCACAAGGACAGGCTGTGTCAACATTTCCCTTTACTTCCTTATTTATTTATTTACACTCCCGCCGTAGGACTCGGGGAGGGCGAGAGAGGATGTGTGCATGGCAACAACACGCTGGCCGAGCTGAGCAGATGACCTGCTTTCTGAAGGCTCACAGTGCTTCGTAGCAAACTGAATAAAGGGGCAAGCTTTTTAGGAAGAGCTGCTTCCGACACGAATGAAGGGCCGTCTGCAGCAACCGATTATTTGTAGTATTGGTGTGAAGTAGCCGTTAGCTTCTCTGAATAGCTTCTCAAGTGATGTTTTCTATTCCTTTTTACAGCAATATTTGGAATTTATAGTCCAACAAAAGCAAAGTGGACTGAATTAACGTTGGATTAGGGTTGGTTGTGTTATCCAATCAACAGAAAGTGATTCGTGAACTCAGAGAAGTCAATTATCACTGTTTGCTTGATAGTTGACATAACAGATTCATTTGTACTATTATTGGCAATTTTGACTCGTTTTTTCAGCACCTCATTTAGATTAAGGCTTAAAAGTCACATTAAAGAACCATGTCAACTTTTGGAATGTTATATTTCAGTCGTCAGGGTGGGTGGGGGTCAGGCTTAAATCTTCGCGCTAACTCAGTCAACATGTATTTAATCATTTTGAGTAATGTGCCGCTGCCGTTTGCTGTGCCAATTCATAGTGCAGTAGAAACTGCCTCGGCTTAATTGTTGCACAGTTAAACGCCATCCACAATGACTTCTGAATCATGTTTGGGAGTCTTTTGTTTCGCCGTGCCTAAATGACTGTCACAATATGACTCTCAGCGCAGCCAATCGCGTGCTCGGCCTTTGAGAGCCTAATCCGCTTTAATTTGTGATTGCTTGTAATTCAAAAAACGCTGGCCCACTAAACCACGGGAGATTTGTTGTTGTAAAAGTCTTCCTCCGCTGTGTTGCAACCTAAGTACTGATAACAGAAGAATAAACATCCTCCTGTATATATATCCACAGCTCTCATGGTGGCATTCAAGTAAATTACCATAGAAATCACTGTACAAATATTTTGGCATCAATCACTGTGCAGAAATTGCTAAATAGCTGGGAGCCCTCTTAGCATTCAGAGCACGATATCATTGGCATTCTTGTGGCAGATGACTTTAGCCTCACACAAATTAGAATGTGAGAATTAAGAGGGATTTCATACAGCGCGATAAGTATATTTTAAAGGCAGAACTGATTTCGCTTGAGGGAAGAGGGAGGAATTAGGTAATTATCTCCGAGCAGACACCACTGCTGCGGTGAGAACAGGCCCAACACTGCAGGATCAAAGTGCTCAGCTCCTACTCTATTCTCCTCAAAAAGCACAGTTTGCATTACCTGATTTCAACACCTACCTGGCAACCCAGGTAGGTGTTGAAAACTAATTTCTCTGTCTCAGGACAGAGAAATGAGAGTCTGATGATAACACACAATACTGCAGGTTCTTCAAAGGGATGCTAAGTTCGTGTTTACCTCTAATTTATTTATAGAATTCCTGGCATAAGATTTATTTTGTCTACTAGGTTAATTCATTATTGATTTCAAGGGCAGGATGTTTAAACAGAAATGTGGAAGTTGTGCGAGGCAACCTTTCAGAAAAGAAGTCTGGAGACACAGGGGCGCGCAGTCGGCTACTTTTTCCATTTCATTGGAGATGTAATGTCAAGCAGCAAAGGTGTGACACACCTGCTGCTAAAATACAGAAGATGGAGGGAACTGAAGGAAAGGGAAATTATAACGTTTTGTGAAGTTGCAACCTCAGTGTCACACCTGGGATATCCTTTACAACTTTCTATTCAATCATGCACATTAAAAACAATAGTCAGCATCAGTTGTTACAAGGGCATCAGAAGGTCTTTAACAGATACACTTTTAGGTTATGTAATGGGGGGGATCAGTTTGAGTTCAGATTAGATAATTACCAAGATTTGGGGAAAAAACAAGAGACTATTTAAAGAGGTATTTAAAGTTACTGCATGATTTTTTGGTAGGCTACATTTTGGTAAATTCATAATGACAAAGCTATGGGGACTTCATTATTTAGTGGATGACATTGCACATTCATTTGCTCTATATTCACATTGCATGTTATGTTTTCTTATAGTGCAAATCAACCTGTCTGAAACAGAACATGTTACATACTTTTGAAAAAGTAATAGGGACAGAATCAGCCGTTTCAAAAAGTGCTGAGAACGTGACCCCGGTGTTCATGTCACCTGAATGTGTCGGTATGTTTGAGAGAGTCGTGTCCTACCTGCTCGTAGCAATTCTCCCAGGTGAGGTTCAGCAGGCAGGAGGAGAACAGCTCGTCTTCGCTCCGGGCATACCCGTCCATGGTGTGCGTGCCAGCGGCTCTGTGTCAGGGGACTGTGCGGACTTCTGGTTCTGCAGACGGACTCTCTTAACGGTCTTCCCTCGCCGAGTGTAGTCTCTGTTCCCGGCTCCTCTTCTCCTCCGCCCCGCCGTGCAGCTGTCACGGAGCAGCGGCGGTGTGCTGGAGATGCTCCTGGTCACGTGGGCGGCGTCTTCTCCCAAAAAAACTGAGTGTTAGTTTCCCAAAGTAAGGTCCGCGGACCGTATATAGGGTCCCCAACATGATAACTTTCGCTTCACGGTAAAGTCACTACATGGGTAGATGACAGGGCGTTAAAAGGAACAGTGTTGTTGTTGTTGTTGTTGTTGTTGTTGTTGTTGTTGTTGTTGTTGTTGTTGTTGTTGTTGTTGTTGTTGTTGTTGTTGTTGCTACCTGGTTAACACATGAAGCTAGTTAACTTCGCATGCTCCTCCACCTGCAATTAGCTCAATGGCTTCCAATGTAAACTAAAGTGTCCATTTTGATCTGAAATCTCTCCACGGTTCACTTTTTCCTGTTATAGTCATACATTGATGTTTTGGACATAAATGATTAGCTGCCATGTTGCACTTTCACCAGCCTGCTGCTGGACGGAAAATGACATCTAATGTGCAGTGCAACAGTGCATTGTGGGATTCCCAGCAACAGGTGTACATAATACAGATGAACACCAGGCTACTTTCTTATCACCACGGGAACTTTTTAAGTCACTTTAGGGTGTGTGGGTTTGAGTAATAAACAACTTCACATTTTCTTTGAGTTTTCATAAAGTGCTGCAGGAATGAGTCTTAAAACTAAAATGAGTGAAATAACAGTGGAACTTGGAGGGAAAGGTGCGTGGTCAACAAAATAAATACACAAAATGACACATTATACATTAGTGTAATGAAAAATGAAACACCAAACCAAAGTTCTTGGAATCCCCTTAACTTTAAAATATGTTTTTGTAAGTGACAATACAACAACAAATACATGTACAACCACCTTTGCGCTCACATACCTACCAACATAACCCTACCCCACAGACTGGTGACATCATGCAATTCCCCAACACAATTCCCAACATAACTGTGCATTGCTTCAGCATAGCCGAGGTCTAATCAGACTGAAAAAGTGAAAACACAAGCATGACTGTGCAGGGCATTTAATGAGGATAAAATACTGATAGTAAAGGTTAAGACCTATAATTCCTACAGGAAGTATGCACAAAAGTCTTGGAACCCAATCCTATAATGGTTTTTACCTTATTCTCTTCTCACTTTAACTGCACCAGTGGTATAACAAGAGGCAAATGAGCATTAGGTCAAATCACTGCAATAGAGCCATGCAGTTAGCAATGAATGAATGATAGCTAACTGGGTAAAGGTCAGTAAAATAATAATTGCAACGTATACCAGCTGCATACATTTACCGGACTATAAATAAGAGTTGCTGATGTGCAGTTGGTCAGTTGCTCTTTCCCTCACGGTGTTGCTTCTGTGATATTAAGGCTTTAATGCAGCTTCAACAGATGAGCCCTGCTGGGTTTATTGTAGCTGTGAGGCCTTCAGGAGGCTGATTTACATCTGAGCCGGCAGGTGAATGCAGTAAAGCAGTAAACTCTGCAGCCTGGACCACAAGGGCAGTAATTCAGAGGGAGGTAGTTCCCACTGCAGAGCTCCATGCCAGGGCCTACCACCTCTGTCAGACCCTTGGCATTCCCAAGCTTTTCTGCAATTAGTCAGACCGTAATCAAGCATGATCAGGCGTACGTTTGTAGTACATATGTAACAGCTTGCGCCAACCATTGGTAATGTAAGCTAACTAACATTAGCTCAAATTAGCTTTGGATCTTTAGACTTTACACCCTTTGGCCTGATTTAGTGAGACGGCGGCTGTGATCCCAACACAAGATGGTCTCTATTTTAGCGTCAATGCTAAATTATGCAGCCTTCTGTTGTGTTGTATTGTTAAAACGGCACACAAACTTTTAATTTGACTTATCACCATTATGCATATTTGATCTGCATCTAGATTTTCAGCTTTAACTCTGCATCTCACACACTAACCTGAGCAAAGTTTCCTGATCTGACACCCTGAAATGAACTCCTACTGCATTAATCAACAATACACACAATAGTGTTTTAATTGTTTTATTAGTCAAAAATAATATATTAACACAGAGTATAAAGCATGCCTGATTGAATTAAATCATAATCATACATCTTTGGACAAAAAACAGCAGTTTGAAGAGCAACCATTAGAATAATTGTGAAGCATTGTAAGAAAACCTCCTCGAGAAACAGTACAGTGTTGCAGAACATTTGATATCCTCGTGCAGCCATGCTGAGCACAGAAAATCTTTCAGCTCGCTGCAATCTGCACGAGGGGGGCTGCTGGCAGAGCTCATTTGGAGAGCTGTCTTTTAGCACACTATTTATTGTGATGTGAGACCCGTGCAGTGAGACGGGCCTTTTGTTCATCAGCTTTCTTTGCTGGCCTCCTTGTTTGATCAGACGCGTTTTGCCACGCATGATCTGCACCCGTTTGAAATGTGGTCAATTGGCACAGCGCTGTGCATTTTCCTTTTTTCCTTGAGAGATTGTCAGGAATTCACTGCCGTCGTGAGAGTATAGAAAGACAGAATGACAGTGAATGTCCCCCATGGTGATTGACCATAACACAGCGTACATATTTCATCTAGTTAAGTCTCACGAGGCTTGTTAGACGAGTCAATACTGCAAATTGTGGAATAAAAATACATTAAATTGCCTCCGGATAGAAATAAACAAAGGATTTAAAAGCTTTGAGTTTGTGACGGCTGCAGGTCTGAGTGGTTTTTACAATTTCTGATTGTTGCATATGTTAATGTAAATGCACCATTAAGGGGAACATGGTAAACTCTGGAAGAAAGCAAGCCCTGATGTGGCGGGAAAAGAAAAAAGAGTGATGCAAGCGAAATGAAGAGCGGTTTGTTCTTTAGCCTTATCTGTCACCATCAACCATAATCTGTCCTGTGCTGTAGATTAATTTAAAGATTAAGGAGTGCCATACATTTGCACAGTGCAGGGGAGTGCCAGTGCACATGAGGAATCATTGCTTATTTCTGAATATATGGCGCAGCTCAGCTTGTGCTTGCATCTTCTCTGTGCCTTCTTCTTCTTCTTCAGCCCAGTGACACATGAAAGCTTTTCACAGAATCAAATCAACAGCCTGGGATAATTCAGTGTGACAATGTAACAATTGTGTTAGTGTGATTTTATGTGGGGATATTTCTGTCATTCACACACATCTCATGACGGCCGTTCAGGGAAGAGTGGGTGAAAGTTCAGCCAATCCGTCCGCGTTGAGGGGGAAATAAATGAGGTCAAATCAAATGTTGTTTCCCTGCCGCTGACAGGTAGTGGTGCACATGTCTGCACAGGTGCGTTCAGTAGTTGCGTGATTCATTTCAAACTGGCAGCCCATTTTAAACATGCAGTCTACATGCCACATCTCCCCTACATAACCAATTTATCAAGCCTAACCCGGCGATACGTGCATATACTCCCATATCACAGAGAAGGCTGGAAAGCAACTGTCATAGATGGCATGATTGAATTGTTCCCTTGCACTGTCACCAGAGGGGCTATTACTTCAAATTAGCATACAAATTCAAACCAGGACAGATGGATTTGTCACATTCCAGTCGCCATCTTCCTGGAAGATTGGCTGTGCTTGTGCTGTGTGATGGAGATAAGACACCTGTCTGGGCTGCGATTGGTGGGGAGCGGGGCCGGCGTGATAGGGAGGAGGACTGGGTGGATTTCCTGAAACGCTGAGGTGTTCTGCAATAAACTTCCCTACCCACGGTCTCAAATGATGATGAGGCACCATACCGGACTCTGTGGGTGGTGGGAGATTGAGCTGCACGAGGTGGTGATTCACACTGTTTGGAAACACGCTGAACAATACCTGTCTGCTGTTTGTTTGTGTTTGCTACTTTTGTTGAGTTACTGTCAGGGAGTCGCAGAGAATGGGCCCTAACACCAGCCCAGGGTGTTGTGAAACGCTGAGGGGGGAAATGTACAGCCTACCCTTGACCTCAGATAAGTTTTCCGCTTGAACTGCTATACAAAAAGGGGAAACTCTGAATCTCATTCCAACTGAATTTCAATGTTGAACTGCAATGGCACGGAGAGTGCAGACCTCCATCAAGGACATACTCCTCTGCACTGACTTTGGTGTGTTTGTGAACTCGAGTGGAAGCACGTTAAAAAGAAGATGTATTGCTATGAATGTCTGAACAACAACTTCTACAGAGATAGATTAAGGCGGTGTTCACATGAATTTTTCTTTTCTGATTAAGAGAACAAATGTTAACGAAAAAAGAATCAGTTCATGTACTGCGATTCAGATCTGCTAAAACATTGAATGGCCCCTGCTGAACCCTTTCACCATGTTTTTGTGAAATCAGGCCAGCAGCTTTTCTGTAATCCAAACAGAAAAATGGCATAACACATATCGTCCTTGGCGAATGTTTTAAAAAAGATCTCGCCCTGTATAAAAAAGTAGAACTGCATGCATGCAAGCATACAGGAGCCTCGTATCAGACACTAAGAAAATACAAGTTGGAGACATTATGATTTGTAATTATGGCGGTGTGAATCAATGGGAAGTATTGAGCATGAAAAACTGTTCTTACCTCAGAATCAATCCCATATCATTTCCAGATCAGCTCAAACCAATGGGTTTTCTATTGGCTTCGCTTTGGAGACAGACTTATCTCCACGGCACCGTTTTATGGTTCTGTGTACATTCCCGAGCAAAAGGCCATCCACTTAAAAACTTGGATTCCCAACAGTCCGAAAAATATTAAAGCACACATGCTAATATCCTGACTTGGCATATTACACAATCTGCAGGCTTAATTTAAAACTCCCTTAGCAGGTCTACTATCTCTAGCTGCCTATACTTCCAGACACTACAGAGCTTGTGAAAAATGCTTACTGCTTCATTTCAGCCTCTATCCTCAGGTCAATGTTATGTATATTATTCCCTTACAATTGATGTAAAGTTGAGATGCAGAACAGAGGAAGGCAAGGTCAGGTTA